AGCTTGATCCATAAGTGTTGAGACATCATGGAGTGAAATAGTTCATTAAATAATGTGCAGCCACCAAATGTTACTTCAGTCGCTTTTTACTTTGAAATGAAAGGAAATGACAGATGATCAGATGATTGGTTGGAAATGTTTTTCATGTGATTAACACTATCTTCTCTCTTTTCCCTCCAGTTAGCTCCAAATACTGAAACACATTTTAACTGAAAAAGAAAAGAAAAAAGCAGTTTCACACCCAAACAATGCCTTCTAAATAAACCGATTAATTAGACTGATTACAGATTCATTTTAATTACAGTGTAGTTTTTAATCATTAGTTTATTCTTTTCCAGCCTCACATCTAGCTCTGAAAAGTTAAGTACACATCAACCTGTGTGGCATTTGCAGATCTCTAAACAGCCCGTATGCTTTCCAAACGCTCCTAAAATAGGCATCTTTGTCTACTGTTTTCTGTTTTTCTACCCTTTACCATAATTAAGACTTTGCGCCCCTGTTTGACACAAAAGATGCCACCAACCCAGGATGCTTGGTAACGGGACCAAACACAAACTGCTCTCTGTTCAAACATCATGTCACAGAGCTGCTCCTGAATGCATCTGTTTACTGGGCTTTGTTTAATTGACGATGAGTTCCCGGGGCTGACATGGAAAACAATTAGGGTGAAATTCTGTCGCATTAGCTGCCGTGAAACAGCCTAAACAGATTCCAATCTTAACTCCAAGAACTGACTCATAAGTGCCTAATCCTGTTGATGGAAACAGAATCCCACCCGTGTCAAAACGGCCCGCTGCCCCAGGTGCAGTAGCCACACAGGCCCTGGCTTGTCTGCCTTTATCACAGCTGATGAATTGAAAGGACCCTCTTGGGCACACAGCCCAGGCTGTGGTTTGGCTAATTAGAGGCTCTTTTTTTCTCATAAATATCTATAGTGATGAAAATGAGGCAAATAAAGGCTGTAGTTCCAGCGTGTGAAAGAAAGAGTGAGATGCAAATTCTGAATGCATAGTGACACTGAAGGAAAAGTTCAACAAGTTGCTGTTTGTCTTTGCAGATGCAATCATTTTCCTAAATCTTCCAGTTTTGCAATGCATATAATGTTCTGCAAAACATTTAGTTAAATTTTGAAGAATCACCAGTGTTTAGTTAGAAGCAGTAAAATATATCATTTAAATTCCCAGCGGGAGCCTTCATCGTTAATCAGTCCATCCAACTGCAATTAAGGAACATTAGGCATCTGTTAAGTACAGTTTAACAGTTGGTAATGAGATCAGGTCTGATTAGGTTATCTCTATCTTTTAGTGTCAGTGACATTTTGACAGCAAGGATGGTCCCGTAATCACATTGTTCTTACTAAGTCTTACTGATAGCTGTAAACAAAGGCTCAGGTCCTCCTCAGGTAAGCTGCTCCGTGCCCTGGTTCCAGTCTGACATCTGTGCCACATTGCTGCCTAAAGAGCATATATAATGCGCATATGCTAAAGTTAAGCATCACAAATATAATAAGACTAGATCATAGATTGTTTGTTCATACTTGACCTTTAATGAAAGTATGTGACAAAATAAATCTCAGCTCAAATGTCCAATTCCTTTTCAGAGCTTTCAACCACATCTTACAAACTCCAAAAAGCATCAAGACTTATTCTGGAAAACTCTATTAAAAAGCTATTTCGAAACATTAACAGTTTCAGATTTGATTCCTGAATGTAACTGAACAGGCCTTTAGATATGTGGATGCACATTTGATAGTTTATGAAGTCAGAAACATGTGAGCCTTTAACACCTCAGGCTACACTAGAGGAGGACACTACTACATTTCTCACAATCAAAAGCTGTTCTTGTTGATCCATAAAGCTTTACTATGAAATGATTTCCTGAAGACTCCCACCAGACCAGTCTCTTCTCCCTCATGGAAAAAGTAGAAATGTGTGGATGTTTGTATTTCAGAAGTTTAACTGCTTAACAAAACGTCTCCTGCTTCATTGTAAAAGTCTATCTCATTGTATGTACACTGTAGTTTTCAGGTTTGGTGATCAGACTTGTTGCACATTGGATCATAATTGACCTCCATGTGAAGCAATCATGTTCAGACACGTTAAACTCTTCAGCTTGACTTACTGCACAGGAAAGGAACATTAAGCAAAGCACATCTTTGAATGAGGGCAGACTTGAACTAACAGTAATGAGTTATAACTTAAATGTGCCTTTTACAAAGTACAGCCTATTTTCATTTTTCTCAGATGACATAAACGCGATTTGGATTGTTTGTTTTTTCTGTTTCAGTTCCAGATGAGTCACATGAGTCTCACATGTTGCAGCCCCAGTGTCTCCTCCTGGTGTTTAACTCTCCTGCAGCGTCTGGAAAGATGGCAAAGATCCACTGTCGAAGCATGAAGTCACGCCAGTGAGTTTCACCTGACTCACACACACCTCATGTGACTTCCATATCTGCTGAGAGGCTTACCAATGTTTCGGCCGCCAGCAGCTGCCAGGGACGCCATCAGCTTTCAGCACTTTAGATTGAATTTATTTGATTAAATATAATGATGTAAAAAGAACTAAAGCAAATGCAGATATAATAATAATAATAATAGTAATAATTATAACAGATTCTATAATACATTGATCAAGTAACACAATAGTAAAATCAATATCTTGTAACCAGTTAAAGAGCTTGCCATAGTGAAGAATCTATTTAAAGTTCTGAAACATTATCCCTCTGTTGGACGTGGCTGCTGTAGAGAATACTGCGTGTATTACGTGATCAGAAGTACCGCTCTATATTTAACAAATCATGGGGCCTGCGGCGCAGCGTGCTCGTGCAAAAGAACGCCCACCAGAGGAAGTACAGCATGGTGCTGCTGAGACTCCAGTCTCGTCCCTCGTTGAACACGATTACAGCTGAAACCTCACAGGTAGGCAACCTGAACATGTGCATGCACATGTACACTCAGATGTATCTGTTGTCTTACTTTGAAATATTTTATTGTATTTAATCAGTGGTAGTTTTAACTGACTAGCTAGTTTAAAATGTTTTGCCCCGAAGAGATTTATTTTGAAGATTATAAATATCATCACATTTAATTGAGAGCAAAAAGTAATTGCATTCTATTCACTTGTTTTTAATTATTTTGCAAATCTTATGAACAATTAAAATCAGTATGGTGGTTTTTTTGGGGGGGGAATTACATGAATGACTTAATGTATCTGCAGATCTTGTTGTGTTGGAATTTTGGGCTTTAGTCGTAGTGCACATTATGTAGATTTCTTTAGAGTTCTGACACGACCTTTTGATTTTAAATGAATTCTGTGATGCTGAAATGACCTGTAAGAAACTCAAATACTTCAAACGTGTATTTCTTTCAATTGATTTCCCAGGTTACGTTACACTCACTTCGTGGAAATGGAAGACTTTGAATACAGCGTGGAGATCTGTGACCGTGACTGGGAATGCTTCTTTGCAGAGTGCGAGGAGTGCAACCTGCTTCCTCCGTCATTAGCAGGTTTGGACTCTGGGATGAGTGACTTTGATGAAACAGGCTCCAGACGTAAGAGGGCTCACGAGGTCGACCTAACATCAGGCATTTCAGAGGCCAACCGGCCCATCGACTGCCCCCCATACCGCGAGGGCTCTCCCGTGGAGCATTACCTCAGCAAATATGGTGCTGGTGGAATGGAGAGCATCCTTTCAGGCAGTGAGGAGGACACACACCTGCAGTCTGTCAATATATTCTTTGAAAGACTGAAAAATCTTTCAGAGGCTGAGAGGCTTGCTAAGCCATGCCAAGAGAGAACTGGAGGAAACAGAGAGGCAGCCATGGAGGAGAAACAGTGTAGTGATGGGCAAAGATCCAGGGGCAGCACTTTGCCAAAAAACATCCCCAAGTTAAACTCTCCGCCTGCCAGGGGTGAAACAGCAGTTGGCGCACAGACGACGAGGCCTGTCGACGCCATCAGCAACACAAACACAAAGAAAAAAGTCAAGTCTGGCTCCATCATTTCCCGTGACTCTGCAGCCAGTAACTCAGTGCTCAAAACCAACACATCAGCCAACCCTGAAACAGAGTTATTCATCAGAGAGGAAGCCTGCACACAAACTACAGTAAATGAGGCAACACAGTGGAATCAGTTTCATGACCCACTGGAATCAGAAATACCTCACACAGACAAAGTGGTGAAAGTGCAAATGTGCACACCTCTGAAGGATGCTAAGCAGGAGCATTTCTTTACAAGTCCATTCACTTTAAGTGAGAAGTGCAACATTTATTCACCCGGCAATGCAGAAATGGTGACACGTATTAAACGCAGGGAAGAACACAACCCTGTTTTACAGTTAGACACAACAAGCCTAAACAAATCAGCCAGCCCAGAATCTCCATCTGCCTCCATCAAAAGAAAAAGAAGGAAGAAGAGACGGCTCAGCTTTGAGCCAGCCGAAAGCGTCCATGGATACGAGCGGCGGTTTTTAGTAAGGCAGAGTGACTCGGAGGAGGAGCAGTATGCAGGGAGAGGAGGGACGGGTCTGTGCTTACCTGAGGATGTGAATTTATTGTATTTAAATGAACCACAAAGCAATGTTGCGTCCGCCTTATATTCAGTCTCAAGCCGTCTTCCAGTGAGAACATCTGCTAAAGAGATAAAAACAAATGACTGCTCTCATATTGTTCCGTCCTGTGACAGTCGATACCAACACACACTCAGACAGGAAAGGTGTAAAGCAACGAGCTTGGCCGAAAATAATGCAACAAATAACAAGTCAGTTACACCATGTGTTGACAATGCAATATCAGCGACAAGCAGCAGTGGTAATGTGGAAACAAATTCACGGCCTTGCATAAAATTACAAGTCGAAGAATTAACAGGATTGAATAAACATCCTTGGTTGGGGGTTTCCAATCCTGGCAGTGTGACCGGTGAATCAGACAGAAAAACAGCCAACGGTGCAGACAGTCTCCAAGAGTCTGATAAAGTGATTCATTCGATCCGCGGTTGTGAAAATGAGCATAATCTTAAGTGTTGTACAGCCGAGGTCAAATCAATCGCTCACAGTGTTTCACCCAGGGCAGAGTCAGATGATCGCTCCGTGGGAGTCGGCCAAAACGACAAACTATCCGATGCTAAGTCAGTCCTGGCTGCAGAGGCTGGAAATTCTGTCAGTGACGACAGCACACCGTGTCACGGAGAGGCTGAGCCCCAACAACAGCTGGAAATCGAGTGTCATGACACTGACCAGTTTAGCTCCACTCTGGACAACACAAAACCCCAGCAATTTAAAACCACAGCCCGTCCATTCATTCAAAAGATTTCCAGTGAGGTGACCTTACCCGATACCTTACCTCGTCTTTCTAAAAGTGCTTCCAATCTAGACATAAATAATACAGTAAAGAAAGAAGAGCACCCTTTGGAGGTTCAGGCTTTATCCAAATTAGCTAAATTAGCAGCATCACAATTATTATCTCCTGGGAATCCCTGCCCATCTGTGGAAATCATCAGTCAGAGAGAAATCAAATTGTCCACCTCTAAAGATTTAATAACGAGTCCTTCAGATATCACGTCATTATCATCTCTGCACACAGAATCTGTAACATCAATCTCAAATGAAAACATCACAGACCTGCCTGGTGGTTTATCTTCCTCTGTCAGACAAAATGAGTCTGGAGGTCAAACAGAAAAACCCCCACTGATGTTGTTTAAACAGGACAGAGAAGCTGAATCTGGACCTAAAAGCTGGTCTGAATCCAATTACTCAACAGAATCTAAATGTGATTCACTGGATGGAGCAGAAGAAGCTGTCGCAGCTGAATGTGAACCTGAAAACGCACCAGATTCAAAACGCTCAGTGTTTGCCATTTCTTCTTTTTGGAGCGAGATGGAGAAGCTGACGATAAATGACATTCTGGGTTTACGATCCCTGCCACCTCTTCAAGAAAGTCAGGAAACAGACATGTCTGCTACAACCGATTCAGGTTTTTTTACACAATCAGATGAGTCCAAGCTCAAACAAACCAGTGAGCACATGTCCAGTGTTCTTGATCTTGTAGAATCAAGTTCAGGTGCTGTCACGGGAGCTGAGTCTTGTGTTCTGTGGGAGAGTGAACCTGTGCCGATGAGCCAAGGTTCAGATGTGGGTGTGATGACGTCTGTAGGTGACATTTCTCAACCAGTCTTCTCTGGAAATGCACAGAGCTTCAGAACAATTTCCAAAACTCTAAGTGTGCACAATCTACCTGCCCTGAAGTCTGAGTCCTTCAGCTCCACATGGAAAGGCCAAACGTTACAAACCTTAAACGAAGGAGGATCAGAAAAGTTAGACTGTCTTGTTGAGGATAATATGCCAGAGCAAGCGGACATGGATTCTTCACCTTCCTCTTTGACAGATGGCTACAGAATATCTGTTTCCGATATTTTTCAGTACCTCTTTGGTGGAAAGCAGTCGACCCCATGTCAATCAGCCACAAATAACATAAATGCCGTCTACGCAGATGGAAATTCTGTTCCTGAAAATTATGATCATTTCTTCTCAGAGTTCGATACAGAAAACTTCTTCTGTCCTCTGATCTCAGCAGAGGATCAGGCCAAAGGTGAGCAGGTTCCTATCTTTTCCTACTCACGCTCAGCTTGTAGAAATCTACAGTTCCCTGAGGCGTATGACGGCTTCTTTCCATCCTCCTCTTCTGATGATTCATCAGTTGAATCTGATGAAGAAGAAAACTCTAGACCTGTGAGGGTGGTGACCAGGTTTAGCCAAAACGCAAGCACATCTCAGATTTCGACAGACATTTATGACAATTTCTTTACAGACAGCGACCTCAGAGAGAATTTCTTTTGGAAAGCGACACTCTCTTTCAGGAATATCAATTTTTCTGGAATCGCTGTGCAGAAGCAGACAAGCTCTCAAACGTGTCATGTACCTGTAAGGCAAGGTGGCAGATCCCTTCGAAGGACGCTTTATCCCAGTAATGCTCTGGGGAATCAAGACGTGATGTTTCCGGATCCACTTCTCTACCACCTGGAGAACAGGATCTCCAGACAACAAGCGCTGCAGCCTTTCAGAAATGAGGATTTACAGATGGCTGTTTCAAATCCAAGTACGTGCAGTTTCCCACTATTAACACAGTAATGCATGAAGGTTTGAGTTAGGGAATTAGGTTTTAGCATACTGCTGCTATTCGATTGTAGATTCATATACAGTGGTGAAATAAAAAAAACCTTTAGTGTGATGTTTAGTGTTTAATTGTGTCAGGTGGCTAACAGGCCTGAAAATGACAAACTGTAGGAGTGAAGAAAATATTTGATGTTACTGTACCTCAGAAATTAAGTCAACAGCTGATTAATTCTCTGGGTACACTACTATCTAAACTAAATTTGACTAAAATCACATTTTATGCAATTAGAAATTAAATCATGGTACAAATTTGGCAAACCACAACTTTTTTTAGTAGGCATCAAGGCACGTAGATTCAGAGTCGGCTTGGTGGTGGATTTAGACTTTAAAGTTAAGGAATAACTTTTATGACCCAGTGCCACTCTAAATGGGTATAATATGATTATATGGACAAAATAAAGATTGGTTCAATCTTTGTAAAAGCAAAGATTTCAGACGCAGAGAAATGAAATACACATGCAGCATACTTTTTTGAAAAAGTTTTTTAAAACGGAAAATGTATTTTTTTTCCGCAGCTGGATTAAATAGAAATGTACTTAATTTACAGCATGTACTGAAGCTACATGTGGACAGTCGTAGTGTAAGATATGTTGTAGTGTAAGATATGTGATCCACTCGGTCAGCTGTTCCAGTCATGACCGGGTCAGACTCTCTTACCTCAGCTGTCGGAGGACACTCACTGGACTGCGGGGGTGAAAGTAAAGAGGAATGGTTGTACGTGATAACTTGACTTCACTCAATGAGTGTCTTCTCTAAGCTGCTACCTGAGCTAATTTATTAGTTTAGCTGTGGAGGGAAATGACCTCATCACATGTGTGCTGCCACTGAGCTTTAATTAAGATAATAACACTCAGCATCATAACATGACATCTAATGTTCAACACTTATCTATGAGGATTATCTTCAAGGCCACGAGTGTCACAGTTTCAAACACCAGTAGCATCAAGCAGACGTGTGTTTGCAGAACTGGCATCTGTGAAGGATGATGGCATTTGATCGGGTCACAGTGTGGCAGAACAGGAAGTCCCAACATATTACGGGGGGGGGTTATGCTCAGCTGTTGGCGTGTTAATGCCAATTATAGAGCTCCAGAGCGCCCATTTGACACCTCTATTTACCTGATGCTTTCAATCTGTGTTCTGCCTGTGTATGATCAGATAAAATCACTAACATACTTTTTCTGTCATCCTCTCTCTAAAGGGCTGGATTCCTCACTCCTGCCGCTCCGACAGTCAGATATGTGTCTGGTTTGTATTGCATTTGCTTCATGGGTACTGAAGACTGCAAACCCCCAAGTTGGAGATGCCTGGAAGGCTGGTATGCTTGTTGAAATGTAGTTATATAGTTTCATATAACTGAACGCCTGCACATGCAGCTTTTTTAAAGACTGAAATTACAAAGAAGCCGCTTATTCTGTCACCGTGTATTTGTGTTTATTGTCTAACAAGTAATACATTTGACTCACTTTACCATTGTATTTAACTTTCACAGTTCTGTTGGCAAACGTGAGTGCTCTGTCAGCAATTCGATACCTACGTAAGTACGTGAAGATTGAAGCGGCAGCCAGTGAGAAGAAATTGCATCACAACGCCCCCTCTTGAGTCATGATCTTTCGGCCCTTGATACACATCACCATTGAAATGATCAATTTTACAATGAATCCTGGAGCTGAGTCCCTGCAGGACCAAAGTCCTACTAGGAATATGACACATGTCGAATGTGCCGTTCCATGATTGCACGATAACTGCTTTCTTCATCTTAAGTTTCACTGACGCTTTCATAGAACGGAAAGAGTTTTGTTTAATAACAGCTTCGGCAGGGCGAGATGAGACATGTGTATTTATCAGACAGGAGACTTTACTGGTTTGAGACGATTGTAAATAAGGTTTCGGTGAGTGAGATTAGCATCAGAGCTCTGCTGAGTTGAGTTGATGATGTTTGATGAACTTGTGATAAATGGATTAACTTGAATCCCTGAGAGAATTTTAAATAGTGCTGTTGGAGCATGTTTGTTTCCATTACTTTTATGTAGCAGCTGATTTTATAGAAATAGAAAATATTTCACTGAATGAATAAGATCATATCTGTTGCAACATTTTCTACTTTTACGAACCCCCCAAAGTTGTTATTGTGTAATTTATTTGGGAGCTGTATTTTTTTTCCAGTGTTCTGGATGTATTGTATGAAGGGCATTTGATTTTCATGGTTGATCATTTATAGAAGACTGTAAAGTATTTGTTGTGTTGCTCTGTGAGCTGTTCATGTATCTTGGATCAACGTCAGTAAACAACATTGTTGAATTGTTTGCAGTGTCTGTTGTTATTCCTCAGAATATTCCTGAAGGTGCAGCTTTTAAAACACTAGAGGGCAGCACCAGCTCACGTGATAACATGAACTGGATCACCTGAGTGAGCTGCAGTTTTCAAGTTATTAATAATAATCCAATTTTCCCTACAAAAGTAGTATATGTCAAAATTAATAGTTTGATTTAATACGTTATGATATACGTATTAAACATAATTTCTTGAATAATAACAATAATAGGTTATTTTTCTCCAGTAGATGGCGAGATTGAGCTATAAAATACATTGTGTCCCGTTGTTATAGTATTTTCATACAAACACTCTTCTTATTGGATTTTGATGCAGTTTTCATGCATTTCTAAATATCACTGTTTCACAGATTTTGGCTTTTACAGCCCAGAAAGGGAGGGAATCATACATGAATCATATCTTGTTGGTTTTTCATATCATTTCATCAAATATAATCAGTTTCACTCATCAGCTTCATCTTGTTTCAAAAGAGCGAATATATGCAGTAGTATACTATATTTACTGTACCATACATACAACAGATTTAAGAGTGCCATAACAATAAGATTAAATAGATACACGTGATTAACTTGTACTTTTATTGCCAAATATAAATAAACACCTCAAACAAAAATGGAAAAGAGGAAGCCATACAGTTATCAGTACTATGCTGTTATAGTAACAGCAGCACCTTAAAGGCAGTCCATTAAACCCACATCTATTTGTCTTGATAATACATTATAATAAAATAATAAATATACAACATTTACAAAATATACATCCTTTACTATAATGATCTCTCTTGGAATGATTTTTATAGAGTTCAGCTGAAACTAAAAGACAATTGACAGCATGTTAAAAATACTTATATAATTTAAAACAGTTCAGTTCTTGCACTATATGTAAAGCCTTTAGTGCAACCAGCTGTCTTCTCGGTTGAATGCTACATCTGAAACAGACAGCTGAAGTACAACTCTGTCACTTTCATAATATTTTTATTTAGCCTGCTGCTTTGCATACTTGCACTCATCGTCCTGCTGCTCGACTGCCCAACAACTGACAATGCAGTTCTCTTGATCTGCCGGTTCACACTGTACACAGCAGGAGCAGCACAGGCTGTGCTGGTTGGCTTTTATTATCCCTCTGATAGAGATCTGTTGTTTGCACACGTCCAGACGAGTGGCCCGGCTATTGTTTTGTTTTATGACCATCTTTGCTGGGTCGCCATGGCACCAAGGCCTCTGGCCCCAAAGTCTGATCCTGTCCAGTGTGTTGAAATTCCAGACGTTGGCTGAATCATTCCACTATCACAGTCGTACTCCCAAATGTTGTCATAGTCCATTTCCTGGTCATCTGGTTCTGTGGGTTCGAGGTACGAGTGGTGATCTATAGGAGCGAGAGAAGATTCCCAGGCTTTTAGTTCTGAACAATGGAAGACAAAACCTCGCCTTGACTAAATAAACTTGGACATACTGTAGCTCCAAAGCACTTATGGTGACATGGGCTTTATTCCAATGTGTAAACAGTAAAACTGCCAGTGTTACATGCCACTGCTACTCCACCTTCATTCTTTCTAAAGGTACAGCAACATGCAGCCTGTCAGATAAAATTCCTTGTCACATCATAGCACAGTTAAGACTTAAATAAATTCTAGTCTTGTGTTCATATGTGATAAAAGAACCTGTACAGTGCAGTGTTCTCTTACACCGGGTTTCCCCCTCGTGAGACAGATAGAATTTAGAGCCACAACGGCTGTAATGGCGTCGGCACATTTGTGTGTTTCCTGCACTTTCAGTTCTGTAACCTTTAACCTTCTGTCTACCTGCTGACAGACCAGAGAGTTAAATCAGTCCAGAGTGTCTGCAGTGTTTAATTTAAGGTATAATGGAGTGTGAGCTATGTTGTGTGTCCTTGCTGGTACTTAGGATGCCAGCAGACAGTGTTGACTTTCATAACTCACGTGTGGAAATATGATGCTTCAGTGTTTGCTATGATTTTAATGAGCGCCAACCATTGCTCAACAGAAATGTAGATTTTATGCAGCCGTGCAATGAAAACAAGCACCCTCCTCTTTTTGTTTGACACGATGAAACATGTTTAATAACTTAATTGTATTATTTTGTCAGGACTGTACGTTTATACTGTTTTATAATAAACTGTTGACCATGCAGTCAACACACTTATGCACTAATACACATGAACAGAAGAATGTTTTATCAGGTTTATGGGTGCATGCCTTGACTTATTACCTGGTGAGTAGCCGTAAGGGATCTGAGAGGTGTTCCTTGAAGAGCTCGACGGGAGAATCATCTGTCGACAGATGTGAAAGGGAGAGAAAGTTATGTCCTGTGATCAACTATAACAAACATTCTCGTAAAGACTGTTTCACATATGGCACCTGTTCAAATATCACCTGCAGAACAAGTGTATAAACTTGCTCTGGTATCACACAGAGCTCCATGCACCAGTACATTCCAGAAACAGGAGCGTCCTGGGAGATCAGTACTGATATATTTCTCACCTGCTCTTGCAGTTGTCCGGGCACGGGCAGGAGCTTTAGCCTAGAGACGGCCTCGGCTCTCTGCTCTACGTGGCTTTGAGGACTTTCCACATCCAGGCTCAGAGTCTGTCCCTGGGAGTTGGTCAGAACCAGGCTTCTCCTGCAGCGCTTGCCCATGGGAGGGGTGTGGAGCTGGAAGGAGGAGGGTAGGAGCTGCGGAGCGTGCTGCTGTTGGTGGAGGTGGTGTTGAATTGGCTCTTGCCAGCTGTCCTGCTTTAAAGAAGAATAGTGAAATAAGCAAAATATAAAACTTTGATTTAGTAATGATGAAAAATTGTATTATTAAGAAATAATTTTACCAATTTTATGTGACCAAAAACTAGCAAATAAACCTAATTTTTAAAGGTAAACACACGTTCAGTAATCAGTGCCTGATCTTTCTTACTTTTATACTAAGGAAGTGTGTGTGTGTGAGTGTGAGATGCTTGATATCAGAGAGGCAGCGCAGGTGTAAATTGAACCTATGGATCCAGTATCATTGACCTACTTACCAATGGCCTGGCATCATCCATGGAGTAGATTTCGGGACTGCACGGCTCGTCGTACAGCGGCGATAAGGGCTGTCGGGGATGGCACATGTCTGAGTGGCGCTGTGGGCCGTTCAGGGAGTAGTTCAGGGATGTTTGAGGTGTGCTCCAGCTGTTCGACTAATCACAAAAGGTTCAGACAGACAGATCCAGGAGTTAGTTTAAAACACTAGGTGATGAGAGATAAATCAATCACTTATTTCACCCCCTCTCAATCGTCTTTCTCTCATATGCTCTTCAGATTCAGATACATGAGCCCATCACATAAACCAGATCCGATAACCAAGTAGAGGATCTGGACCAATGCCAATCCTGATCTGCAGCAGTGCTATGTGTTGTCTCATAAATCAGTAGTCAGCTGTCAGTGTTGTGTTTAAAACTCTTAACTGCCATATGTCAGGATGTTCCATCAGTGAATGTGTCCTGATTGGTGGCTTTGTTTTTGTAATTAAATGTAATAGAGGTCTCATTCTTTGCACTATCATATAAATTATTCTTTCAGCATCAATTCTGCACTATTATCACATTTGTTAACACATATTATGACCCCTCTCGTCCTCTTGCTCGTATCTATTTTAGTTGCTGCACACGTGACATGTAAAATAAGTCAACGGTCTCTAAGGGAATATTCGGTTATCAAGTTAGACGCCAGACTGAATTACCTTGACAAGTGGGGCTTTCTCCAGCCGCTGCGGGCTGACACGGTGCAGGGCAGAGTAGGGTGTGCTGTAGACCTGAGACACCACCGAGCTCTCTGCAGGCTGGAGGTAGGAGCTGCGCTGTGGTGAGGAGTAGCGCAGTGACAAAGGTCGTAGGTCATGCTCGGGCCTGGTGTGGGAGGACATGCTGTTGGTCCTGCTGCCCAGGCGGGCGGTCTCGGCTGAGGAGGGACGGCTGGAGCTGTACTGTACGGGGAACAAACAAAGCCAGGGCAAGAGTCAGCCAAGAGTTGCAGTGCAGGGATTGTACGTATATTCGTACATTTTTAATGTATCTGTACTCACATGGATTTATTTTCAGCTACTTTCTACTTTTACTCCACTACATATATCATGTTACTTGTTTATATTTGTTGATATTTATATAAATAATCAATAACAAGGGGGAATTTGTCCATAAATCAAATTAGATCATTAGACCCCGCCTCCTGCAGCAGCTGCATTACTGGTGATAAAGAAACACCTGAAATGGATTCTGATGAAGAACATCACCAAGACTCAGCCATTAATTAATATAATATGTATTCAGGAGCATCATCTGCACCTTTCTTAATAAATACAAAGTCTGTACTATTGTATTAAACTGAATATACAGTAGGCTCAGTTAATGATGTAGTGGACTGTTGCATTAGAGAGGAGGCTATCACTTGCACTTTTAATACTTTAAGTATACGTAAAAGCAAGTATTACTTTTACTCAAGTAGAAACATTAATGTCGTACTTCTTTTAGTACTACTTTTACTTGAATATATTTTTGTCAATTTATAGTATACATTGATTTATAAAGAAATGTAAAATGCTTTACAACATGGCTAGAATTAGCAAGTCCTTGTAGAGCAAATATATTCAACAGTTTCCCCTGTTTACATCATTATTTTTTATTTTCATTATGTATTTTGGGAGAAAAGAGTCTCTATAAATTTAATTGGGTGTGTGGTGTCTGGCTGAACAACAACCTGTCTTCTGGGCACTGAGCCCTCTCCACTCTCAGATAAGTGAGTGGGTAGTCAACCTACACAGCTCTTCTCCTGGGGGAGTTTGCTTAGATGTCCTGATAAAGCTGAGTTTTTCAGTACTTTTTAAACCTCTTTGCTGAATTGGACTTGGCCTCTTATTTCCCTATCCCAATAAAAACTTTTTTTCTGCTTTG